AACAGCCACAGAACACAGACACATGCCCCAGTGACCTGAGAGGGCTTTCCAGGTTTCAGCCTAACACACCCCACCCTGCTGGAAAAAGCAGTTTGCTTCGGGCAAACACAGCACATAATCCCATTGCACCACTCATTCCGCAAGACACTGCTAGAAACAGTCACTGCTCTGGACACTTCCCCCAGCTGTAACCATTTCAGACAGAGGAGGAAGGGAAACAGTCCATCCTCCCTCACAGTAGTGATGCTTCCACTGAAGCACCTGCCACGAGTAAGGAAGAAAACACAACCAGCAGTGTGGTCAGTGTTTCCCTATGGAGAAATACGAAGCAGAAGTATGAAGACACACTGGGAACACGCGTGACATTGACACCAATATTGCCAGATTTCCAGTCTGTCCTGCCAACAGCTCCCCACGCTTGAGAAGTCTTCAGCAAATCTGCAAGAGCAACACTGTACCACTGTGCCACTTCCAGAGGAACCTCCTGAGGGTATTTCACACCTGAGAACCTCTCATCACACTCCCGTTACCATTTCAGGTATTTGCACAACAAACTGAGCAGATCAGCACCCAAGGCAAAACATCCTGACCAAGGCTCCAGCTACAGCCCTGGAGCTGCTGCAGCTCCAGGTGCTCCCAGCCCCTACCCAGATGAAAACCAGCACAGAGCCATGGGTTTTGCTGTTTTTTTGGCATCTTACAAAGTCCCAGCTGAACAAATCCGTATCAACCCCAAAACTCCTGAATTTCAGGCCACTTTCAAAGCTGGACACAAGCACACATCCTTCATTTTCCAAAAGATTTTCACTTTTCCTGCTGGTGTCCCTGGGAGCCTGGTGACCCTAGCACAGGTCAGGAGTCATGTGTTTCCCATTTTGTGGGTGGCAACTTTCCCAAGAATGCAGAATTCCCCATCAACTCCCAAGGTTGAACTGACTTTATTTAAAAAAAACACAAACAAACAAACAAACAAAAATATCCACAACCAAAACTCACAAATAAAGAAACATCATTTTCCAAAGTTTCTTTCATTTCTCCACTTGCACCCGAGGCTGAATTGGGAAGGGCCACACCATGGCAAGATAATTTTTATCACGGTGCACTTCTGGAAAAGCCAGAAATGTAAGGAAAATCCTTGTCCTGGGAAGATTTGCCAAGCACTTTCAAGTCCCCAGGGAAGTGGGGCTGTGGAGGCAGCAGGTACTGACCCCCAGGGGTACAACCTGTGCTCTGGCAGAGGCAACTCCCCAGAGTGGATTCCTTAACCAAAGTGTATTGTGCAGCAAACAAGAGGTGCCCAGGGGGCTGCTGGGGGAGACCCCCTCCCTTTCTGTGGGCTGCAGGCATCCTCCGTGGGAAGGGAAACCCTTGGCAGGGGAAAATCCAGGGAACAAAGCAGTGCTTCCCTCCCTGTCACACCCAGGAAGGGTGAACAGGCCTGAACGTCCAGTCTTGCAGGGTAAACATTGGGTTGTTGTTCCACTTTGTTAATTAGTCTAGACCCACTAACAACTGACCCCACCAGCAGCAGGTCTGAGCATGGAGGCTGTGTGACTGCACACAGGCAGAGGAGGAGGAGGGTCTGTCCTGGTGGGGAGTGGGCAGGGGAGCACCCCCCACCCCAGAGGCACCCGCTCAGTATCCTGTACACCTGTCTGCTCCTTGTCTTTGGGAAGAACACCCAGAAAGGTCAGAAATCTGCACACAGGGATAGACAACAGAGCAGCAGGTGACTGACAGGTGCGGTACCCACAGGGAACCCAGAGGGTGCCCATCGGTGCTGGATGCAGGTAGAAAGATGGTGGCACCCCTAGCCCTGCTGCTGCTGGAGACTCTGCACCCCCTTGCTACCATGACAGGCTGCAGCGAGGGGCCTCCTGCGTGGAAAAATCATCAGAGATGACAGGTTTTGGTGACACTCTTCCATTTCCACCAAAACCACTCTCTGCTGGAGGGGCAGCTCAGCCCAGCATGCCGCGTTGTCCCTGTCACTGCTGTGCTGCAGCCACAGCCAGGACACAGCACCTGGAGGAACCTGCCGCAGCCCTCCCACCCTGCAGCCCCGTTCCTGGGGCACAGGTGCACCTGGAATTGCTTTTCAAACTTTCCACAGGCACAAGAACCACAGAGCAACCCACCACCTGAAGGTAACACCCACATGGGGCTGCGCCTGCCGCAAAAACACTCCCTGGTGTGAAGCCTCCCAAGGTGGTGGTGATGCTGGGAAGCCACCCTCTGGCACAGAACCTGCTGATAACTTCTTGTCTACCTTAATTTTATCCATGATTTGGCTGTGTGTTTTAATTACCTGCGCAGGTCTCAGCCAAGTGCAGCACGTGGCCTTGTTCTGCCTGGCTCTGCTCCAGGCGCAGAGGAAACTGACAGAGAGTGCAAAATAGCAGTGATTTCCAAACCAAAGGGTGGAAATTGTGCCTGAAAATACCCAAAGGCTGTGGGATCTAGATGTTCCCCTGGAGCTGAGAAGTCTTGTTCCATGCCCAAATGCTGATGCAAGCCCTTCCCCTCAACTACCACATGACCATGCCAGGCAATAAATAAACCACCAGGCAAGTGTGTTTACTCACAGGTTTGTCTCTGCCCCTCTTGCAGGGCTAACACAGACATAAGGAGGCTGGTCAATTTTGCTACAACAGGATCTTGGCCAACTGGTGCCATTATGCAGTCTTGTCTTTTTCCACAGAGAACACCAGTTTCAGGACAATTCCAGGCCTATTTTTCCTACACAAGTGCAGCATCACACACACGTGTGTCAAGTGCTCAGCTGACTCCTCTGTTGTTTTTCAAAGGGACAAAGACTACATGAGCAATTAACATCATCGTACATTAGGCTTTGATGTGACATTGGCAACCCAGTGGGTGGCCCATGAACCACTGCTCTCCTCACTGTGTGATAGACCTGGTTTATCTCTCTAAACTGAAAACAAAAACCAACGCTTTGTATCACAAAACACATGATGAACAAAGAGATACAAATACTCAAAGCCAGCTCCCAAATTGCAAGGACTTGTGGGCACTTCTGGTAGGATTACAAGAGGGGAAAACTCGTACTAGATTTCCCACCTCTCTGGCCCAGCTGTGGAAGACACAGTGAGACTCCTGGAGGAGCTGAGGCACAGCCTGTGCAGAACCTTGTGTCCCACTGTCACCACCAAGCTCCAGGTATGAAGCTGGTGTGAAGCGTCAAGATGAGAGATGGTGATGGGAGAAGCATCCCGTGGCATCACCCAGCAGGAAGGTGGAGGCTGCACCAGGCCCTGGGGACACTGCACACCCTGCTCCTTCTCCTCAGTGCCACTCATCCCCAAGGAGCCCCTGGCTGTGCCTGAACACCCCATCTGCAATTTCATCTATAGTCATACCTGAGAGCAGTCAGGAGTTAGAAAGGGGTAGAAAGTCCTGGGAATGCGCTGACAGTCCTGAAGGCATTTGTGGCTGCCCCATCCCTGGGGGTGTTGAAGGGCAGGCGGGATGGGGCTTGGAGCAGCCTGGAATGGTGGGAGGTGTGTGGTGCCCATGCAGGGGTGGGACTGGGTGGTCACCCAGAGCAGGTGCCATAGGATGGTGCCCAGGCAGGTTCTGAATGTCTCCAGAGATGGAGACTCCACAACCTCTGTGCAGCCTGTTCCAATGTTCTGTGACACCTGAAGTCAAGACATTTTTCCTCATGTTCAGGTGGAGCTTCTGTGTCCCAGTTTGTGCCCATTGCCCCTTGTCCTGTCACTGGACAGCACTGAGAAGAGCCTGGCCCCATTCTCCTGACAGCCCCTGTAGATATTGATCAGCACTGATGAGATCCCCTCAGCCTCCTCCTCTCCAGCTGAGCAGCCCCAGCTCTCCCAGCCTTTCCTCCAAGAGGAGCTCCAGCCCCTCGCAGCCTCCCCTGGACTCGCTCCAGTAGCTCCTTGTCTTTTGGGCATGAGGAGCCCAGAACTGGGCACGGTTTTCCAGATGTCACTAGGACAGAGTAGAGGGGCTGAAGAAACTCCCTCAACCTGCTGGACACACTTTTCTTGGTGTACCCCAGGACACCATTGGCCTTCTAGGCCACAAGGGCACATTGCTGAGTCAGGGTTAACTTACTGTCCACCAGGACTCCCAGGTCCTTCTCCACAGAGTTGCTTTCCAGGACGTCAGCCCCTGACCTGTCCGGGTGCACAGGGTTATTAGTCCCCACGTGCAGGACCCTCCATGTGCCCTTATTGAACTTCATGAGGTTGCTTTCCACCTAACTCTCCAGCCTGTCCAGGTCTCACTGAGTGGCTGGACAAGTGTCTGGTGGATCAGCTGATCCTCCCAGTTTGGTGTCATCAACAAACCTGCTGAGGGGACAGTCTGTCCCTTCCTCCAGGTCAGTCATGAAGACACGGAGGAAGACAGGACACAGCACTGACCCCGGGAACACCACTGGCTACAGGCCTCCAACTAGACCCTGTGCCACTGATCCCAACCTGCGGAGCTCTGCCATCCAGCTGATGACACAGGGAAGACTGCTGAGGAATACCAGAAGCTGGCAAAGGCCTGTACCACAGCCTTGAAGAGTTACAGGAACAACAAGAGCTGACATAAGAGGACATTAGCTTGCATTTTCCATTCCTTAATCACCATTAATCTCCTGAAAAGGAACCTTGAGAGATAACAAAGGAAACATTGTGCCACAAGGCACGAGGTCAGAAGAACTCAAGAGGAACTGAAGAGGGCAGGGGGAGACTCAAGAAATGCCCCCTCCCCAATGGAGAACACTTCTCAGTGCACATGAGCCTTGATTTAAAAGGACTCTGTGCCTTTAAACAGAAGCAGGGAGTACAATTAACCAACTAGACTTGTAGTGGTAGGTTACTAACCAATAAAGAGGGACCTTGATGCCTGCTGCACAGGATAAACATGCTCTTTGCATGGGGCAGGCATGTGGATTCCCCCCTTCCTGCACAGAACTGGAGCAGAGGAACATCTCGCTCTGCACCCCGGGTCAACAGCCCTGCCTGGGACAACACAGCCCATCCTCAACCCACCTCCCACCACTGACACCAGCATCAGCACCAGCACTGACATCAGCACCAGAACCAGTACTGACATCAGCACCAGAGCCAGCACCAGCACCAGAACCAGCACCGGCACTGACACCAGCACCGGCACTGACACCAGCACCAGTACTGACACCAGCATCAGCACCAGCACTGACATCAGCACCAGAACCAGTACTGACATCAGCACCAGAGCCAGCACCAGCACCAGAACCAGCACCGGCACTGACACCAGCACCGGCACTGACACCAGCACCAGTACTGACACCAGCATCAGCACCAGCACTGACATCAGCACCAGAACCAGTACTGACATCAGCACCAGAGCCAGCACCAGCACCAGAACCAGCACCGGCACTGACACCAGCACCGGCACTGACACCAGCACCAGTACTGACACCAGCATCAGCACCAGCACTGACATCAGCACCAGAACCAGTACTGACATCAGCACCAGAGCCAGCACCAGCACCAGAACCAGCACCGGCACTGACACCAGCACCGGCACTGACACCAGCACCAGTACTGACACCAGCATCAGCACCAGCACTGACATCAGCACCAGAACCAGTACTGACATCAGCACCAGAGCCAGCACCAGCACCAGAACCAGCACCGGCACTGACACCAGCACCGGCACTGACACCAGCACCAGTACTGACACCAGCATCAGCACCAGCACTGACATCAGCACCAGAACCAGTACTGACATCAGCACCAGAGCCAGCACCAGCACCAGAACCAGCACCGGCACTGACACCAGCACCGGCACTGACACCAGCACCAGTACTGACACCAGCATCAGCACCAGCACTGACATCAGCACCAGAACCAGTACTGACATCAGCACCAGAGCCAGCACCAGCACCAGAACCAGCACCGGCACTGACACCAGCACCGGCACTGACACCAGCACCAGTACTGACACCAGCATCAGCACCAGCACTGACATCAGCACCAGAACCAGTACTGACATCAGCACCAGAGCCAGCACCAGCACCAGAACCAGCACCGGCACTGACACCAGCACCGGCACTGACACCAGCACCAGTACTGACACCAGCACCGGCACTGACACCAGCACCAGCACTGACACCAGCACCAGCACCAGCACTGACACCAGCACCAGTACTGACACCAGCACCAGCATCAGCACCAGCACTGACATCAGCACCAGAACCAGTACTGACATCAGCACCAGAGCCAGCATCAGCACCAGAACCAGCACCAACACTGACACCAGCACCAGCACCAGTACTGACATCTGCAGCAGCACCAGAACCAGCACTGACATCAGCACCAGTACTGACATTAGCACCAACACCAGCACCAGTACCAACACTGGCACAACCACCAGTACCAGCATCAGTACCAGCACTGGCATCAGCACCAGCACAGTGCCAGTACCAACACCAGCACCAACATCAGCAGCAACACCAACACTAGCCCCAATACCGACATCAACCCTGGCACCAACATCAGCACCACCAGCAACACCAGCACCAGTTCCAACACTGGCACAAGCACCAACACCGGCACCAACGCTGCCACCAACACCAGCACCAGTACCAAAAGCAGCACCAGAACTAGCACCAGCACCAACTCTGCCATCAACACCAGCACCAACACTGGCACCAGCCACCAGCATCAACACCAACACAGCACCAACCCCGGCACAGCCCATCCAGCTGCTAGCCCTGCCTGAACACCAGGCCCTGCCTGCAGAGCCAGCAGATTGATGCCAAACTCCACTTTTCTTTTCTTTTCTTGTTTCCTCTTATTTTTTACAATTCTGTGCCCATGTGTTTTTTTGTTTTCCTCTTTAACTTGCCCTTCATTTACACCATGTGTCACACAAGCTATGGGCAAGACCATCTTCTGTCTGAAGTCACTTCTGCAGGCAGCAGATCAAGAAAAGTCTTGTCTCTGAATGTGCACATACAGCCATGGGTTAGTGCCAGAGCTCTCACTGTTACCAAACAACATAAAGTTTTGTGAAGACACAAGCAAAATACTAGCTCTGCATTTCTCATTGCAAGTCTCAGGGTATTTTAAGAAGATCCTGAGCAGCCAATGTCCATCCAAAGGCACTGGCCCTTGGGAAAAAAAATACTATTCACACAAACAGAAAAATGAGTGACATTTTCTGGCTCTGAACTGACTTTTTCTGACTTTTGTTGTTTTTTTTTTACTGACAACTTTCTGACTTGTCCCCTTTACTCCTGAAGACCAAATCCCAACACTGCAGGGAGGACCACACACCTCCATGCTCTCAGAGCTGCATTCCCATGGACCCATCATCCAACACAGACTGAAAAACAAACTTTTATCTTTCCAAGATGGCAAATAGTTGACCAGATAAAAGTGAAACGTGAAGATTTTCAAACAGCCTTATGCCCCTCTCTTTGTCAGTTCAGAGAACTTCTTCTCTGAAACAGGGGGCAACTGCCTTTGAAACTTGTGCAATTTTACCACCTTCTTCCAATGTATTAGTAATTTTTTCAGGAGTTATCCAGATTTCACCTGCCTGTGCTTCTCTACAGAGCCAGACGCATCTGCCCGGCACCCCATGGATGCAGGTATCAGTTTGCCTGGTTCTTACCTAGGCCCAGAATATCTATGTTTGATCTGGAAATGAAGAGGAGAACAGATGCTCAGTTCAGTCCTGGCCAGAGGCAGTGGGGAAGCACCAGGGAGGGCCTGGGAATTACCCACTATTAGCAGCAGGCAGCTCTCTTCCAAGTCGGTGACCTGCTCGGTGCTGAATCTGGTCACACCGTGTTATGCCTCATTATGGCCCTGATCTAAAGTTTATTGAAGTCAATAGAAATATTCCTCTTGGCTTCAACGAGTATTCGATTGGACCCACGTGTGAAGCTGGAACGCAAGAGAATCCATTTCTGCTGCAGACAGAAATTGAGGATGGGTAACTCCTGCTTTATTCCAAGGAAATGAACGCACTGCCTCCTGTCGAGCTGACCCTGCTGTGTATCTTTCATCCCAAGGTTTTCCCTGTAGAGGCATTAATCCCACCAAAAGCCCATCGGTCTGCAAGCCCCAGGCTTGTCCCTGCCCACTTCCACAGGCTTTCCTGCACCCACCCAGCCACCCCCAGCTGGCAGACACTTCCCAGGCCTCCATCTCCAGGAACATCTCTGTCCACGTTTAACTGGAGTTGAGGGCTCGTCTTGCCTGGGATGACTTCCCAGGGAGCTGCGGATTGCACCTCCATCTGGCATTGGGGAACAATCTCCCATGCAGAGGGGTTTGCTGAGTACAGCCAGCACTTCCAGCAGGACATTCCCAAAGGGACAGGCACTGGAGAACTGCCCCATTCACTGCAGCAGCTCTGTGCATCTGAAGGACATAACACGAGCATCAGTTCTGGGTAAAATCTGAGTGGTGGGTGCAGTGACATGAACAGAGGGGCTTTGCCTGCTGGGGGGCTGCATGGGAGGACAGTGGTCCACCAGAGGACAACACCAGAGCAACAAGAGAGGACAACACCAGGTGAATGCCCCTCCTTGTGTCCTTGGCGCTGCAGCCTGCATGTTGACTCTGTGAGGAACACGGAAAGTTGTCCCTGTGGGCAGAGCCAAGGACACAGGGCGCAGCAGAGCCTGTCCATACACCCCGAGGGGCTCAGGGAGGAGGAGTTGCTGTCTGTGCAGGAGACAAAGCTGTGAAGGTTTTCCTTCCCTGGGGCCTGAGAACTATGTGACATTCAAGTCATGGGCTTTGCAAGAGCTGGAGAGCTGGTGGCCAGCAGCCACAGGCAGAACAACCCCATGCTGGTGGTGCATGCACACTGCTGTCTGCATTGAAAATCCCTGCCCAAAACAAACCAAAACAGTTTTCCATTAACATTTGCAGCCAGTGCAAATTGATCATGGGCTGTTTGCAAAATATGAACACAAACAGACAGAAATGTGAGTGAAAGGCATTCGTTTTATGCATGGATTGATGTTTACAGCAGGTCGCTGTCAAGTGGAAGCAAGCCAGAGTGCTTCTGCAGTCCTGGCTTCACCCTTAGGTAACTCCCCCAAAACATACAGAACCATAGAATCATGGAATGATTTGAGTTGGAAGGGACCTCAAAGGCCATCCAGTCCCATGCCCTGCCATGGGCAGGGACACCACCCACCATTCCAGGCTGCTCCAAGCCCCATCCAACCTGCCCTTCAACACCCCCAGGGATGGGGCAGCCACAGCTTCCCTGGGCAACCTGGGCCAGGCTCTCACCACTCTCACACCAAAGAATTTCTCCCTCACATCTCATCTCCAGCTCCCTCTGCCAGCTGGAAACCCTTCCCCCTGCTCCCATTCCTCCCTGCCCTTGTCCCAAGCCCCTCCCCAGCTTTCCTGGAGCCCCTTCAGGCACTGGAAGGAGCTCTGAAGTCTCCCCACAGCCTGTAAGCCTTGACTATTTGCACAGCTCATCCTCAGGCTTCCCAGCTCCCCACTGATTGATTTCTCCTGCCCTGGGATGCCTCCCAGGCTGGACACCAGCAGGTTCCACACATTCCACAGAGCTCACAGCCACAACAGTGGGCACCAGGTGGCAAGATGGGGCACATCACAGGAGGGTCATTCCCTCTGCCCCTCAGGCACTGCCCAACATAGCCTTAATTGCACAAACCCACCATGGCCCTTGCACATAGTGGGCACAGCCTCTCGACACGGGGCTACCCAGGATTTCATCTTCCTGTCATTGCACAACGGTTGCCTCCTCTCTCAGCTCTCTGAGCCCTTCCCCACAGACAAGTGTTCATTCCCCCTGGGTCTCTCAGCGGAAGGCACAGCAGATGTGAGAACGCAGAGGATGCTTGTCAAGAGCACAGCCTGTTTTGAGGCACGAAATAACTCCTAAGTCTCCATTTTATACAGGTGAGCTGAGGAAAGATGAACAATGGAAAAGTAAAGGAAATGGATGGGAACGTTTCAAAGCAAAGACTGGGGAGGCAGAGAGCAATCATTGCCCACAGCCCACCAACACACCTGTGGACACCTTCCAGTAGGCAAGGACAGGGTTTGCCCAGAGAAGGCAGCAGGAGGACTCTGAGCTGCAGAGACCAGCCTGCAGCTGGGAAGCGAGGCTGGAAATGCTTTGCAGCGCAGGAGGGACTGTCCCCTCGCAGCACAACTCACCACAGAACTGCTCCCAGAGCTCCAGGGGAGAGAAGAAACAAAACAGGCAGAAAAAGGAATATTCTTGTCTAGATAGTAGCAGTTCCTCCAGTAAAATACCTGGAGCCCTGCCCAGGTGAACAGCACTGAGACATCAGCAAGTTTTTGAGCCCAAGGAAAATCAGTGATATTTCACTGGCTGCTGCAGGACCAAGCTTCCAACTAAACAGATAAGCAGTGGGTCAGCAGTTCCTCCAAGACTTCTTCCCACATCTCATTTCCATGGGGAGGAGCATCTTTTCCTTGTTTTCCTCTAGAGAAATAGCTCAGGCCTCCAAACATCCTCTGCTGACTTGGCTCCCAAAGCACCACTCCAGGTCAGCAGCACACAGGACAGCCAGATGCTGGAGCAGGCCTTGGCTTTCTGCAACAACCTATTGCAAGGACAACCCCAGTTTAACAGGTCACATCATTAATGTTCTCAGCATCTTAATTCTCACTGATTTATCTGGCCTTACTAATTGATCCAGACAGCTTCTCTGCTGTGGTTAAGTATCACAACAGCTTTGTTGAACTCTCCAACAAGCACTCAGGTCAGGGTTGAGTTCACACCAGAACCAGAGCCAGTCACACAGATCACATGTGTCCATGGTTCAAGAGATGCTTCACATGCCACTGGAAAGCAGAAGCCATCCCCAAACAGCCACAAGCCCTTAACTATGGCCCAGCCTTCAAAAGCAAACAACAATGCTCCAGTCTGTGCAAAAGCAAACAACCATGAACTCCAGTTGTAACTAAACTTAAAAATGCCCAGGCAAGGTAGTTCTGTTAAGCACCTTATGTATGTAATGAAACCACAATCTTCAGCATCTTTTAGACTTCCCAGAGCATGCAGAGTACCCTGCCAGCCAAATTAACAGCAGCCTATCTCCAGCCTTAGTGACCTGGCTGCACAGTCATTCCAGCCACAGCTGCTTACATGGACCCAGGGAGATCCCTGCTCCACCAAAGGCCGAATACCCCGTATTTGACAACTGGGATACTACTTCAGCTGGACACAGACAGGAATAAACGACCCTCTCCCATCACTGCTCTCCTTGCAGGGACTCTCTGGGCACACAGAAGTTCCACAGGGGCAGGTCTGGCCCCTCACACCTCCCGGTGCTGCTGCTGAGTGGGCACTGTGCCGGGTCCCTGCAGCCTCACCCGTGTTCAGATGGGACAACCACCATCTAGTGGTACGTGCGGGCCACTTCACCTTCCAGACACACGGACTCTGCCTTCCCATCCAGTTTGTTGTTTTTTTAAAAAAAACAAAAAACAAAAAACACAACAAATTGACCTCAGCATCTGCCCCATCTGTCTTGTAGCTGGAGTTCTGCAGAGCTCCTCAGCAATACCAGCCAGGGAAACCACCACACTAGCAGAAGCTGGTGAAAAACAAATGGCTCCATGAATGAACTAACAAACGTGAGCATAAAGGCGAGAGGAATTTCAACTCTACCATATGACTTCAGCATGAGTAAGTAATTATTTAAATTTTATACCGATACATAGATATGTTTCTCAACCAAAGCCATCATGGTAGTACACTGCCATGAGACAATATCTTGTGGCCCTTAAATGTATAGATTCCTCCAAGGGAAATCAGTATTTGTCTGCAGTTTGAGAGTCCATCCACCCTGCTAAAAAGCAAGTCTAATATTAAGAACACTGGAGACTAATGGTCAGACACATCGTTAAGTAGCAAGCGGTACCGATACTGGTGTGACAGCAACACAAGCATTTCCACCTCCCTCTCAGCAACTAAACTAAAGGCTGATGAGAAGAACACAGAGGCACACAGCTGTGCAGTTTTCTGCATGTGCTTCCGTATGGCACCTGCAAAAATGGAACTTCCCCAAAAATTATTGCCAAGTCCTCCTCACGCCACTAATCTGTAGGTGCAACTAATTTACCTTCACATACTAATTGAGTGTTTCTCTCAGCAAATGGCCAATTACATGCCTAATAAGCCATTTCTGGACACAAAAACCTAATTTGTGTGCACAGTCATTATAACTGTGAACCAAAATTAGGCACTGATCTTTGCTAGTCTTCTCCTCGTTACCTGCACAGCCTGCTTTTGATCTAACAAAAGCATCAGAAGCTGTGATGCTCTTTAAGGACTCATTTGATCTAACTGGCCCATATCAGCTGTAATTTCATACCTAAACACTTCCCAATGTTTACATAAGTGGTTTCCTTAATTTTTTTATCCTCAGCCTTTTAAGGCTGATGTACACTTGGCGGAAGGACTTGGCACCACAGCCTTTCTCCATGTTTTCCTACTGAGACTCTGGGACGTGTTTGGTGATGTCCACCAAGCTGACCTCTGCCAGCAGAAAGCATACCTGGAAACACTGAACGTTTGCAATAGTACCTGCTCAGGTTTGATGGGCTCAGTTGTTGTGAAAATGTCAGAGTAATGCTGCCTCTCGAAGACTCTGTCCAACACCTCAAGCTGCTGCTGGGTGAACAGGTCTCCTCGCATCTGTTTCCGAAGAAAATCTCTGCCTGGTAGAGAATGGCCATTTGGTACTGGAGATTCCTGAATACCTTTCAAAGGGGAGAAAGAAGACAGGGTAAGTAGGCATCGCAAGAATGAGACCTACACAGGAGTGTCTCATTTTATGCCTTACATAGATGTGGGTATCAGCTTTGGGAGGTGACACCACGAGGACTCTTTGAGAGGAGGTTCCAAGCAAGAGAGACACTGCCAGAAGATACTCTGACCAGTCTCCCATTGCAGCCAACCCACAAAACAATTTACCATCAAAGCTGCCACACCTAATTTAAAGGCACAACAGGGCTTAGCAGTCACATGTTTACTCCCATCACTTCTGTACCACTACCTGAGAACTGCCTGACTCACAGTCTAGATGGAGGAGGACATAGGAGGGCAAGTACAACACCTGATGCTACAGTCACGGTCAACTTGCACTCTCCTGGCACAGCAATTTCAGTTGGTATTTCCTAAGCTTATTGGCATGAGGCAAGCTTGGCCTCCAAGGCATGTTTTACTCCCTCCTCTTTGGCAGAGATTTTTAGCAGAAGTCATAAGTGACTGCCCATGGCTGAAAAGCCATGAGACAAGCTTGAAAAATGTCTAGATTGTCAGTTCAGAAATATTCTTGCAATACAGGGGGTTGTTTCAATTTGCTTTTTGTAGATTCACAGTGGTTTTCTACTTTTCCTTCACCTGTCAGTGCCAGAAACGTATCTTTCATGCACAGAAAGCTGAGGTCTGCAGTATTCCCAGGACTCCAGGAGGTGGAACTCCAAGAACAACAGTAAATATCAGATTTCTTCTCCAGATGGCAACACCGTGCAAGACAGAGGGAGGAAATGTTTTAAAAATAGAATCTCGCTGCCAAGGTAGTTTTGAGGAGCAGAATCCAACTAGGAGATTTCCCCCAGTGCTGCAGTGGCTTGGAGTCCAAGGAGTCTGCAGAGGGTCACATCATGCAGACCTTCTGTCAGATTCTGCATCAAGTTTTAGCTGGCAAGCACTGAGGCCCCCGTGCCCAGAAGCTGCTGGAGACACTGTGCCTGACGGCAGACAAGGGCTGCCACCACTACTGGGGGGATGCCCATGGACAGGGTTCTCCACAAAACCCCACTCATTTCAGGTCACCCTTCAGCACGGCTGGGTTCTGCAGAAAGCCAGGCTGCTTTACGACAGGTCTCAAGCTGGGCAGCTGACACACGGAGATGCTTCTTCCACCGAGGTCACCTCTGTGACAACCTGCCGACGCTGTTCATGATTAACTCTGGAAACTTCCTTCTATGCTTTAGCTCAGTAATTCAGGCAACAGCAGCTTTACCTTTTGTCCCATTCAGACAAAATCATGCAACTGAAGCCAAGAGTAGTTTATGCTGGGCTTTGTGGAGTGCAAGGATCTGTTTATTCCACACAGGAAAAAAACCAAAACCCAAACTGACATTTGAATAGAAAATCTAACGATGTGCACAGAGCTGTGAAAAAATACAAAGGAAAACAAGAGAGCAGTGTGTTTTGAAATCTTTTTTTTTTTTTTTTTTTTTTTATCCCCCCCTATTCTAAATCAAATAATATCTAATACACGTAGTGCTGGGTTTAGTCAACCATGGCCTACAGAATTAAAATTCTGGTTGCTAGCTGCATGGTAGCAAAAGGCCAGGGAGACCCTCTCTCTGGAGCATGGAAACACTGGCTTTAAATCTCAGGTTGAACTCACGTTATTCACAATTTGGTATGAAAGTTAAAGCTTTTGTGCAGTTTTGGCCTAAAGGGGGTGAAGAAAGGGAGTGAAACAATCCAAGACATGGTGTGACCTGGAAGATGCTCTTGGCAAGGCCAATGCAGCCTGTGCATGGCTTATACACCCAGAGACTCCCTGGCAGCCATCCCATGTGTCTCCAGCAGCACTGTCACCACAGATGTTTGCTCCAGGGTTTCTGGAGGTGTGCCTGGAGAAGCTGAGCCCAGCACAGCGTCATGGTGGGACAGCACCATGTCCAGAGGAGCAGCTGGGGATGGGCACAGATGGACACACCACCAGGGCTGTGCCCACCCCCACTGGCCCTTGCTCCCAGGGGAGAGAGGCAGAGACCAACTGGACACAGCTCCCAAAGCATTTTGAGAAATAGAAGGAGAAGGAGAAGGAGAAGGAGAAGGAGAAGGAGAAGGAGAAGGAGAAGGAGAAGGAGAAGGAGAAGGAGAAGGAGAAGGAGAAGGAGAAGGAGAAGGAGAAGGAGAAGGAGAAGGAGAAGGAGAAGGAGAAGGAGAAGGAGAAGGAGAAGGAGAAGGAGAAGGAGAAGGAGAAGGAGAAGGAGAAGGAGAAGGAGAAGGAGAAGGAGAAGGAGAAGGAGAAGGAGAAGGAGAAGGAGAAGGAGAAGGAGAAGGAGAAGGAGAAGGAGAAGGAGAAGGAGAAGGAGAAGGAGAAGGAGAAGGAGAAGGAGAAGGAGAAGGAGAAGGAGAAGGAGAAGGAGAAGGAGAAGGAGAAGGAGAAGGAGAAGGAGAAGGAGAAGGAGAAGGAGAAGGAGAAGGAGAAGGAGAAGGAGGAGATCTCCCTCTGCCAGGAACACACCGAGGGATGCTCAGGGCCAGCCAGCCAAGGCGCAGTGCTGGGCACTGTGGCCAGGGATGGAATCAATGGAGTTGACTGGGGCTCCAGAGGGGTCTGAGGCTGCAGGGGGGGCTTGGGTGGAACCCAACTGCTCCCCCCCAGCACTTGCATGTCTCTGCTGGGGTCTCCAGGTGCCCAGAGGACACAGAGACACAGAGGACAGAGAGGGGGACCTGAGGTTGTGCCAAGGGGAAGGAGCAACACACCTGGCAGCTGCTGCCAGGTGGGAATGGGACAGGGATGGGATCCAGGGCACCCTGAGCCCAAGGGAGAGGAGTGGGGACCACCCGACCCGACTGGCCATCACAGTCGCTCATTCTCTACACACCCTATGGACAGGGGGACACCTCCTGTGCGCGGCACCTCCCAAACCTGATGGATGTCAGGTGACTGCTGCACTTGCCTGCTCAAGCAAAGGACTGGCCGTGGGCTGCACATGGCACCCAAAAGTTTGTGAAGGTCTTTGGGACACGTTTGGCTGCTAGACATTACATAAATGTGAGATAATTACAATTAGCATTATGTGTTGTTTGAATACACTCGCATATCTTCGATAATTAAAATACTGTTGGCAGGTTGGAAACACTTTGGGTTATAAATAGGCTCCAGGGAGTGGTAGAAACATTTTTCATATAATCAGTGCATCCACCTAGGAGGGTTACATTTTGTTGACAGTAGCACTACGTGTGCACCTACCCACCCTGCACAACAATTAGTTCCCAGCCCAATGGCATCTTCCCAGAAATGCTAATGAAGAGCACTAAATCACAGCATCACAGAATCCTAGGGGTTGGAAGGGCCCGGGAAGGACCCCCCAGCCCACCCCCCCTGCCAGAGCAGGGGCACCCAGAGCACATCACACAGGAACGTGTCCAGGGGGGTTGGAATGTCTCCAGAGAAGGAGACTCCACAGCCTCTCTGGGCAGCCTGTTCCAGTGCTCTGTCACTCTCACAGGAAAGACATTTTTCCTCACATTTATGTGGAACCTTCCACTCTCCAGTTTGCCCCCATTGCCCCGCATCCTATCACAGGACATCACTGAGAAGAACCTGGCTCTGTCCTCCTGACACTCACTCTTCATGTATTTATAAACACTGATGAGGTCACCCCTCAGTAACACTCTATTTAACATGATACTCTTTAATAGTGATAGGACAAGGGGGAATGGTTTTAAACTGAGAGAGGGGAGATTTAGATTAGATATTATGAAGAAATTCTTCACTCTAAGGGTGGTGAGGAACTGGGATGGGTTGCCCAGGGAGGTTGTTGATGCCCCATCCCTGGAGGTTTTTAAGGCCAGGTTGGATGAGGTTTGTGCAGCCTGGGCTAGTGGTTCCTGCTCATGGCAGGGGGGTTGGAACTTGATGATCTTTAGGGTCCCTTCCAACCTGAATGATTGATTCTATGATTGTATATTCCACACTAGCAAGGACTTGTTCTGTAACCAGAACAGTCCAACAAGAAAAGCTGGCACAGAGCAGGTCCACCTCAGAGGAGAGGTACCATGCACCCTCTAGCTGACAAGAGGCTGCCTAAATTGTCTGGATTTCATCCACAAATACTGTGTCTTGTTAATTAAGGGGACATTACTTTCTGGAGACTGAAGAAAACAGTAAGGTCAGTTTAAATAATTCAAACAATTATGACCTCACTTTCTTTAGTATACTTTTATGGTTGAGTATGTGTCCCTGACACACCTTCTGAAACAGCAAGATAGTATTTAGAATGGCTAAGGATGCCCAAAATAGATTTTTAATGATACTCACCATGTAACTCACTGGATTTAACACAGTGTTTTGATTACACATTTCCAAGACTATGGAACAAAATAAGGAGCACAAGTGACCCTAGACCACTCTCTTCACAAAGCACTACAGAATGTTTAAAAGCCACAGTACTAGAAGAAAGATCAACTCCACCTCCTCTGTGTTATTCAGAGAGAGACAACAACACAGTTTAATTATAAAGTGTCACTGTGAAATGCCACGGGACAGACCCTCCCCTGCTGAAAGTGAGGGCAGCTCTGCTCCAGGACCTCAGCCAGGTGGCAGTGGCTGAGAAATTGGTGCCATCCACAAATTCAGCTGGGATAATATTCCAGAGTTACTAGTAATAACGATGTGCCATGAAGTGCAGGCTTCCATGGCACCTCTGTCTGATGTGATGCTCTTCTGAAGAAAAAGAGAATCGGTGTGTTTGTGTTGTGTTTTTTTAAACAACATGGTTTTACAGGGTTAATCAAGGAAGGAAACAGCCATGAACAACCCATATTCATAAAGGACATGGTTTCTGTCTCTAATTTGCACTGTCCAACTTCATTACCTGGCATCATACCTAATCACTCCACCTTATAGGGAAACGCAGGCTAATTAGGAAGGATGTTATTCACCACATTTAAAACATCATGAAGCAAATGAAATATTACCAGGAGGCAAAAAGGTGATTTG